TTCGGGGGGGGGGGGCATCCTGGAAGAAAAACAGAGCGGTATCATTTTATGGTACGAGGTAAGGAGATCATTCTTAGATGATTATATGCAACCGAGTCATTCTCGTTTGAGAGAGAGAGGGAGAATTGTATGCAAGCATGAGGGGAGTAAGTCACAGGGATGACCGTTCAGAGGTACTAACAAACCTTGTCACATAACGCTTACACCGGTTTTAAGCTGGTAGTTGGTAGGTAGCAAGGCAGCCTATTTATTATCAGCAAGATTCGGGATGTAAACCCAGTACGGTTGTTGTTGTTGTGCGATCGATGATTGGTTGTGGATTTGAAAATTCCTTCCTTCGTTTTTTCAGATTGTACGTGTCAAATCATTGTAGCTCAACAGGTTCACGTCATCCAGCATTCATCATTCATTGGACGGTCACTACTGTGACTTGCCTGAGCCATAACACAGAAGTGATTATCGCACTGCACTGGATTGCTTTCTGTCTCGTGTAATTCATGATAACAGAGTGACTCTGTTCTTGTCAGTTTTTATCTAACTACCTATTTCCTATTTCTGTTTGGCATATACTCCCGTCTGTTGTGTCCCCCGTGGAGACAGTCATCAAAATAAGTGGTTAGTGGTGAATAAAACAGTGAATAACCAACCGGAGGCTTTTGAGAAAGTAGCATCTCTTTCTAGTGGTAAGCACCTTCTCCACGAAACCCATCAAAGGTCTAATGATAGTACTATGTCTTGACGGAGGTGATCCAAGCCAAATAACACAGTCATATCTTGTGCTGACACCATCGATTCGACAAGGTCTTGCATTGTAATCGAATAAACTACACTACTGACCATCCGCTTATCCGGAACAACCATGAAGACCTGCAAGCTGTAATTGAATGCGCGAGGGATGTGTGTGTGTGTGTGTGTGTGTGTGTGTGTGCAAAGCCCAATACTGAGGTCAAAAGTTGCAATCCCATTCTCCAAAATGACTATGAATCACTGTGATTTACAAAGCGAACTTAACCCACTTGATACAAGACAGTTGCGTTCGAAAGCGAAATAAATAAGGTAAGCGAATGTGGCGGGATTTCGTTGGGTTGGCATCCTAGATCAATGTAAAATGTGTGGTTTGTAGTGTCGGGGATGTAAATGACATATTGGTGTTAACTGGCCATCTCCTCCCCCAGGCTTTAGCTTCACACGCACACGCATTTGTGCCAGGGTTTAAATCATTCACGCCGGATACGGAGACACTCCTCCGGATGAATGCTGACAAGAGAGAGAGAGAGAGAGAGAGAAAGAGAGAGAAGGGAAGAGATACGAGTTTACGGCTTTCCGAATGTATAGCTGACGGAAAGAACCAGGTGTACGTATGGGGGGGGAGCAGGGTTGAGTGCAGATTGAATTTGAAGGACGGGAAGTCAAAATCAATAACATTTACCGTGCACCACTACCAATAGGTCACAGTAAGTGTCAAATGAGAACCGAAATGGTCTTCATGGAGAGCAACATTGAGGAATAGCATAAAACGTCTCTCTATCCCTGTCCTTTGAGTTTCCGTGACCAGTTACATGGTGATCACAGTTCACATGCACAGAATCAACGTGGACAGAGTGCAACCGGGGTGAGTGAAAGGAGAAATTAAAAAAGCACGCACCACTACACCTACCAGTTGGTTGGAAAGACCAGTGAGTGAACTAGCCATCATGAAGTGCAGCTGAACGAGGCGTTCGGTACGTAAAGTCAGTCCGACCACATGTGGACAGCGATCCACAGTCAGACTGGGAATACCCTGTGTTGGATCGAATACGATACGCTCGGCTTGTGTGGCATACTGGACACGAGGAAAGCGATTGGGCAACCTGAGAAACGGGGTCAGTGAGATGAGTGTGCAATTTGGCAATAGCAGACAGAGAGAGAGAGACAAACAGAAAAAAAACCGGCACAGCACAACGATAACCGCGGTTGCCGGTGATGGTGCACGAACAAAGGAAATTTGAAAACCGGTTCAAATTATCCACCTTCAAGAGTCACAATGATTGTTTGTCAGAGAATGACTATCCAAATTCTGCTGGACAATGTTATCAGTAAGTACTAACCTTGACCGCTTCCCCACCCACCGATCGATAGGCGAACCACAAAGACAACTGGATCAAAGTCCTTGAACGAAGCAGCGCGGTCAACAGTCCACACATTTTGAGAGCATTGCAGCAGAAAAAAAGCATGATTTTTGATGTGGTCAATGCAACTTGGTTCATGGCAAAACCATGGCACGGAATGGCGTTCAGAAGCTCGCATGGAATAAATTGAGATCGTATCAAATACCGATCATTCTTTTTATTTCAAGGCACCACAGTGATCGAGCAGGTGTAGTCGCTATCGGGATGGCAGTTTAGTNAAACCCGGTAGACGCACAGGTCTCAACCATTAAACATGCGTTTTCATGCGCCGGTTTTGGTTGGTTTTTTGGCTGTCCATTTGGATGAAGGAGCACAATCAATATTGGAATGTTGAGAGTGAATTCGAGGGGGAAAAGCGGATTCATATAGATTGGGGTTGCAAGGATAATGAGTGGATGCACGAGTGTCACTGTTTGCGACACCAGGCCCTATCACTTGGTGTCGCTAACCACCAGTGACCATGAACTCGGGGTCCCCATCCAGACATCCTTACGGGACCTATGTGACCCAGTCGCCTGGTCATGGTTTTCATACCCTCATACCATGTCTTAGTTTGACCACTTTTGCTTTTCTTCCACCCCCTACCTGCCTCGGCAAACATCGCTTGCCATGGTAACCTATTTGGTGACATGCGTAGCACATTTCCCAACCAGCGTTAACTATGAAGGTCGACCACTTGCTCCAGTGGAAGACCGCGATTACCTAAAACTCTGCGCCGAACATCACAATTACTCGTACGGCTGCCCCACCAGACTCATGCAATGCCATGTGCACAGCTGTGTTCAAACACCGACAGTCTATCTTTATCCTGTTTTCTTAATGGTCAAGTTTCTGGGCCGTATAGTAGAACCGGCCGAACTGCGGCGTGATGGGTCCACCGGGTTAGATGCAGCTGCCCAAATAACAAAACTTATCCACTTCCTCTACGACTTTCCTACTTAGAGTGAGGCTGGGTGCTGGACCAACCCAGTCTTGTAGTAACACTATAGTACACAGTTTAAAGATGTAAAACGCATACCCAATATGGACGGCTACACTGGCACTCAAGCTATCCGGAAAACCTTGCAACTCACCTGGATCTTCACTTAGTAGCACAATGTCGTCCGCATTGAAGGTGGTTTTCCACTAAAATGAGAGGGAAAACAGCCAATATGCGAGGCCATAATCAGGTCGGTAGACCACTAGTCACCGGTTCGATTGGGCATGGAGATGTGTTCGGCACTTTGGACGTTTCACCCTATTCAAAGAGAATACGATTCTGTGGGTTCGACGCAGGCACCGAATGAATCAGGCTTTCGTCAGCCGAGTGTTAAGAATTCTCTAACAAATTTGCCTGTTTTGGCTTGGGCAATCCAGCAGTATCGCGCCCGTGAGCAATTAATGAACCTTTTTTCTTTCTATAAAGATTATTTTTCTACCGTGATTTCTTTGGCACACTGTCTGAATTCAGACGTGTGAAGATATGATACGTATAAATCGCATGAACCGTTCTGATAACCAAATTTATCAAATTATTGTAACCACTACCTCCACTTATACGTTGTTAATATTGTAAAACGGATATTCTGATCCAGATTGCAAGGTTCGCGGTTCGAGTCCCAAGTAGTGGTAGACCCAAGTAGTACACACTGCTCATAATCCACAACAAGAACGAAATCAAAATTGTTGACGTTTCACGAATAAATTGTATTACATTACCACAAGTTTGGCATCTAGGATAACTTCAAAAAGTGATCACAAACATGCAATAGCCGAAATGAGGAAAATTTTGATGGTCACCGATTGGACATAGCACAGGTACAATGTCAACAAAATCACAAATTGGGTTTAGAATAAAAAGTGCGTTAAAAACAATTTGGAGGAAAACGCGATTAATGCGGACCGTTTTACTCACCGGAGTGTTCCATACTCGCGCGGCAAACAGTCTTTCAACACCAAATGTGTGTAATCGCCGCCCTGAGCAAGCACCAGGCTAGTCACAGTGAATGTGGTCGTGGTATAACGACGCGATCCAGCGTATCTGCGGCTGTCCTCGCGTTCATTTATCACTTTGTTATTTTTGTTTTCCGGTTTTCGGGCGGCGAAAGCACCGTCACCACCACCACCACCAGCACCAGCACCAAGAGCAACGCCGTTGCCGGTGCCACCTGCACCACTGGACATAGAGCCACTTTGGCCATGCTTGGTTTTGCTCGCGCGCTGCGGTACACAGGCGACGAGCTGAAACACAATTCCTTGATACAAGTGACACGGTAGAACTAATCCAGGAGTCACAGAGAGCTGTGCGTTGTAAAGAGGATAGAGGCAGAACAGACGAAGCTAGAAGTGACGGAACGATGATAGACTAACATATCTCAGGAAGGAGACGCTGTGAACCAGTAAATAGAGAAAAGAAGGGTCAGCACTCATCAGTTTTGATCTACCTCGGTATCAGACTTTTACTGCTTCATTTTCATAGGAACTAATCGTTAATCACGACGGATATTAGACAAGCAACCGGCTCCGATGCAATTTCATTTCTGGCATGTGTATGAATGTATGGAACTGAGAACGAAAGACAGCTTTTCCAAAGATGAGTATTCGAGATAACGAAAGAAAACCCCAGAGAAGCCACACTTGATGCCGCTCTAATCGTAATTGTTTACTGAAAACTAGGTTCAGTTAGGAAAAGACAAGCAATTGGGCGCGTGCATGACAAAAGGGTCCATAGCAATCACATCTAATCATATGGCCTTTTGCATAAAGCGTTATGAACAGCACACAGATTACATATGTATATATATATCTTTCATAATAAGTAATAAATGAATGCCCGGACAAAATTTCCTGGAAGCACACGACGGGTTTACCAGTTCTTGCCGTTCGTCAGACATGTGTACCTGGTAATCTTTAGTCTTTTCATTGATAAACTTGTGCCCAGGAAATGTACTTTCGGCATACTACTCAATCCGACAGAGAGCGACTGATCAAAACGTTTCTCATTTTGAATCTAGTACACGATATAGCACAACATTACGATCCTGTTGCAGGCAACGAACCTCGCTCATCTCAGTACTAATAGCCCCCGGGGTTATGACCCGGTTGGAAACTTTTACAACCTGACTACTCGATGCATAAGAGAAATGGGGGATTTGATTAGATCATCAATTCCTAGCTTTTCAGACCAGTTCGCTTGTAAAAGCCTCAGTATGTTCTATGGGGATGGTATCTAGGGTTGCGACTGGTCAGCCTT